GAAGTTATTTTTCATTTAAGGAAGCTGTTTATACATGCTGCTTTCTGTTGTTTTAAAGTATAATCTTTTTTGAACTGGTCTATAGCTGGCGGAGATAGTTGAATGATCACTAATCACTGGATCAGCAAAGTTTAGTTATAATTTCACATCAATCGTAAATCATTTTGTAAGGTGTTTGAGTAATATTTTCAGAAGTGAGGTCTGTATCACCAGTTCTGCGTTTCAGCACCCTTTGCCAACCCCTTATACGCATCTGTAAACTTACTCCTTTGTGATCTCTTCTTTTTTAAAATATTTTTCCTCTACAGCCTTGATTATTCAGTAACAATCAATTAATATAATACCCTAAAATATCATATGGGTACATATATGAAGCAACCCTTACTCTTCCATAAACAGAAAGGAGAACTGTAAACTAAAAAATAAATGGATAGGTGCATTACTTATGAAACTACAGTCAGTGATACATTGCTGTGTGGATATGTAATGTGTTTCTTTCACTTCATATGTTGAGAGATTGCTGTGTTATGCGGTGTACATGTATCCTTCAAGTCCTGCAGCACACACAGACAGTATTCTTCTTCAACTTTCTGTTAGAAAACAGGTTTGGAAAATTGCAGCTCCAGAAATTAAAAGATTAAATGGCACAAAGGGTTGTTTGTTCCACTGCTTTGTGGTGCTTAGGGCTTCTTTAATTGAAATAAAGATTTATTTTTTTTTTTAGCAACCAGAGAAATGGTGACTGGCTTTTCTTCCCCTTTAATATTTCCTAGGATGAAACTAGAGCAGAAGTTCCCCCCGGAGCGCCACAGGAAAGATCTGCGATTATTGTTGAAATGGACAATATGGAGCTAAATGAACTCAGAAAAAGGTCAGGAGTGAGATCTGTTAGCAATATTGTTTTCCTAATGGGTATGTTGTAAGTGTGAAAGTAATGCTTTTCTATCCCTCTAAGGCATTTGGGGGGGGAAAAGGGGAAGAAGTGGATTTACAGTGATTCAATGAATCGTAGTTATATTCTTGAATTGCTATCTGGTAATATTTGTGGATTGGTTTTGCAAAGATATATACTTACTGGTGACTTTATTTCAATATCTAATCTAAAGCACGTCATGCTTAATTCTTATGGTGCTGAAGTCTCTTATCACAAAGAACACTTCTTAATAAAAAAAAACCCAAGACAGTAATTATTAAAGGACGTAAAATATTGATTTGACCTTTCATTTTGTCCCAGGCTTGCAGAGACTGAGCAGCAGTATGATTCAGTGCAGCAGGCGCTCTCACAGCTGACAGAAACACTGTCAGAGGAGAAGAGGAGGAGAGAAGCTGCAGAAGAGGCTCTTGGACTCCCTGAGGAGCGAAGTAGCAGGTAAAATGCTCCTGTCTGTAAAACATGTGGGTTTTTTTCTTTTGAAAGAAAAGTGTAAACCAGACACAAGACAGACACAAAAAAGTGTCTGTAAGATTTAATTTTCTAAATAAATTGCATGTTCAGAGAGCCAGAGCCCTCTTTTGCTTCTGCTTCCCTTTGGCTGAATGTGTGGTGAGATTTTCATTTACACTATGCCTGGAGTAAATGCAGAGTGTACTATAGAACTGGAAAAAGGAGTGTCAGATTTTTTGTTTGCCTTTTATTTTTAGTGAGATTAGTGATAGGTTTTCCTATGGGTGTTAGATTTCTGAGCAAATAATAGAACAAACAAATAATAGAACCTGTCTGTCAGTCCACAGTACCTGAAGCAATGAAAATGCATCTGTAACTCTGTTAAAAAGCTAAGTTTAACTATGGATCAACAAGATGTTATGGGCTTTGGGATAACTTTTTTTTTTCCTTAGTTTAATTTCTTGCTTCAGATGTTGGTCTTGGTATTTGGTGGTATTTCTTTTTTCCAAGTTAGAAAAAAATCTCACATGTAACTGCTTTAGCACAGCCAAGTCACTGTTTAGATTTAATATATCATTATCCATATGCCTACATATAGTGTTCATCACCACCATCATCTGAAAATGACTGTTCAATCAGCTGGTGATGATGGGAGTTATTCTGAATAAATGAAACACCTTGAGAGTAGATTGTAATTAGGGACTGAAAAAGACATAACATTAACTAAACCTTACTGCTTTTTCTGAGCACCTTCTTCCGGTAATGTAAGTATACAAAATAATGTTTCTTATGTGAATTCAGTACTTCAAAAGAGCAGGTAATTCAGTGCTCCATTGTCTCCCTATAATTTTTCTCTAGATTTGAAGTAAGCAGTTACAGGTCTGTACCTAGCGAATACACTGTTCACATGGAAACTGAGGAGGAAAGGGAAGCCTTAATCATCAATCCTAGTGAACATGTTATTGTGCGAAAGGTAAGTAAATGAAAGCTTTTAAAACCCTGAATTCTAAGCTTAAAACTTAAAAGTGGTGTGCAAATTGTATACTAGTTGCAGACTAGATTGAAGACAGCAGAGCTCGTTATCTCCTTTGTGCTATCCCTTTGGGTTTTTTTCTGTCTTCACTCTGCTATACCTTTCATTCATTCTGTAAGTGCAGATTTCCCTTCTGAGTGACTGAAAGTCCCTGGTTTGGGGTTGTCCTCTGTATGCAAACTCTGGCATGAGGCAGCTACTCATCTAACCCACCTTGTCTCTGACAAGCTGCCTGCAAAGTACTCCTCCATTGTGTTAGCTACCACGAGGATGGGTGGGCCATAGAGTAGCAAGTTACTGCTGAAATTACTGAAAACATGTCCTTAATTTCTTTCTGTTTGGGTTGTGGATGGTGAGTCAAATACAGGCAGCTATGTAATGTGTTCTATGGCATGCCTTACACATCTCCAAGGTAAAATGTGAGTAATCATATTTATATTACACATGGCCATTAAATAAAATGTGTATGCATGTAATTATGCACTTTCATCTCTGGTATGTATATGTAATTACATAATACACAACTACCTTGTATCCATTCCTCTCCCCTTTTATTAATTCTGTTTTCCGTGGCCTGTAAATTGTTCATACTTCGAGCCTGTGCTGTGGCATCCATGGCTGCATTAGGGGCAAAAGTTATATAGTGCCTCAAGAATCTAAGTTACAGTGGAGCTTCTTCTCATATGTATTCATGGTTACTTATTTTACTTTTTTTTTTTTTTCCCCTAACCAGATGAAAGGAGGAGCCCTTTCCTTTCGAAGATGGCTTCGAGGGCGAAGTCTTTACTGTTCTAAACTGTTGACCTCCAGAGCGAAATCCCGCTATTTATTCCTCACATACCTAGTGACACTACATCTTGTTGTTTTACTGTGCCTCACTGGTGTTCTCTGAATACACTGCGTTTTCTGGGTAAATTATTTCCCTGTAGGTAATGGTGTGCCAATTCAACATAATAGACTTTTCACATGCTGCTGTTAAGCTATGCACTGGACACAGTTGTATATATTCTTGTTACACTACATCAATCTTGAGCTTCTTAAAAGAAATTTGTGTATATCACAGTTGCTCCAAAGTTGACTTGAATTGCTCTTTAACAGTGGAATATTATATTTGCTAAGGAGAAAATATTCCCTTCTGCCCTATAAAGAAACTGCTGCATACAAGTTATTTAATATCGTTTGTGAGTACATAATGACTGATTACTACTGAATGGGTTGTAAATGATATCTTTTCTATACAAATTTTATTTTAAGAGTTAAACTATAAATTTTAAAGGAATATTCAGCTATTACTGTTTATTGGCTTCTTGATTATAACAAGAAGTTTTATAGAGTGCAATAAAGGAAGAACTACTGGATTTTTGATTTCTTTTTTTCGATTTGTTTTTTTTGTTTGCTTGGTTTTGGCTGAAAATAAAAGAATTGAGAAGGCTGTTCTTTGGCCATACAGTTTGTAACAGCTATGACAAGGTGCACAGATATGTATGTGGTAAGAGGTAAGATGATGATTAAAGATTCAGTAAAGATTCAGAACTGAGACGAAATGAAGAAATGTCTTCAACTTCTGTTCCTTTATTGTTGTTTAAAGGTGCAATTTCTGTAACTCTTCTTGTGTTTTTTATTTTTAATTCACGTGCACTTCTTGTCTTTGTGGGCTTAGTTACTGTCTGTCTTTGGGGGAAAATGTTACTCAGCTGCTCAACACATGAAATTCAAACTTATAAAGACACGACCTTAAATATCTTACATGTTTGGGCTTCAAGGTACAAATGAATAAAGGGTACATTTTCAACTAAGGCAATAAGAAGCAGGATGTGCATTCATTTTCTGTTGACGTGTAGTAGAGTATTTTGTTTTGCATGTTAATACATCCATGTTTTGTTACAGTGTGTTCTGGAACTGCACAACTGTTTCTCAGAGTCAAAAAATATTTTTTGTGAAGACTGTGGCCACTGAAAGCTGGTTTACACCCTGTATTGTTGGTGGTGTTCTTTCTGCATTTCTGGTCAAATCTGTATAAAATGAAGATGCAGTCACAACAAGCTGAGTCTAAAGGAGTAGACTTAGTCACAAAAAAAGAAGTAGCCATTTGATTGCCTGTTTGCTAGACTAAAATCCTAAGACTCCTGTGGGAAAAGAAAAGCCTAATGAGTGGAAGTGGGAGGATTCCATCAGTTTTACTGATGGGCAGATAACAAAGTTGGCTTTGAAAAGATGTTAGTGAAGTGAATTCTCTGCTTAAGGTCCAAGGGTTCTTGTATACAAGGCCTGCAGCGCAGTCACGTGACAGGTAAGGAAGGGATTGGTTGGCATTTATGTTTGCAGAGTTAACATTTACCAAATTGTATCTGATGTTCTGCATCACTTGTTTTTGTCATGTGGAATAGGAAATGCCGGCTGTAGGTACCACTGTACATAAATCCTGTAAACTTTCTACTTTTGATGGTTCTTTAATATTTCTTAGTCTAGTCAAGGTCTGAATTTCTATATAAATCCAATATATACCAGTATTATTGGTATCTTTTTTTTTTTTTTTTTTTTTTTTTTTTTTTTTTGTAAAATGGCAATGACTCATCTGTTTTGAATGGCTGATTGCTGATTCAGTCCCTGTTTTCAGCTGTGGTGTCACCTGAGTACTGAGATAAATCAACTATTTTCAGTGTTGTACCACATAAACACACACCAGGTACAGTTGAAACAGGAGTACTGCACATGGTAAGACTTTTCCCTTTCCAGCTTGAAGATGAGTGTTAACAGAATGATAATGAGCTATTCTTAGCTAATTGTGTTATAAGGAATCAGAATGCTTTCCAGCTACAGCAGTGGATCTACAGATCCTTCCAATCTTACTCATCTAGTGTGAGGGATTTTTTTCTTGAGGGGAGGAAACAACCCTGTTGTCATGAGGCAAGTTTACGAGTGGGAAAGGATCCAGAGATGTTAGAAATTCTGTCCTAATTTATCCAGGCTTTTGTGCTGTCACTGTGATAAGCACAAACTGGAGAAAAAAGTTTCCAAAAATGGCTTGACACGTGTAGATATTCTGTGAACTCCATTCCAGGAGCTGATATAAATGTAATGGAAGGTGAGATCATGTCATTTACAAAGAGGCTTTTACAAATCATCACCATTTCCTGCGTAAGTATTGCCCTGAGAGTTTTTTCATGTTACAGTTCATGATTTTAATGCTTCTTTTCACTTGGTCTGAGATCTTTTGGGGATTTACACACTTCTTCCTGGACTTGGATGCTGTTTGCCTCAGGCTTTGAAGGAATTCCAGTGGGTTTCCTGGTGTAAGGTAATTCAGGTTTGACTGGGTTCAATTCAGGGTTGCAGGGAAATGTGCAGTTCCTCATTGCTAGAAAGATCAGTAGAGTGCAATGAAACCTTGGTCTGTCTGAAACCTGGAAGAATGCTTCAGTAGTGCTTGCTCTGGACATCAGGCCTTATGTAGAAACCAAAGAGGAAGTTACCTGTTAATAGATCTGATGGATTTTTAGCTTTACAATCTTCACCTGATGATAAGATTTCTGAACTGTGGAAATGGTTATTAAAAGTTTAAATTCAGCAGCTGGAAAGCAGTAATGTGACTCAATGAAAATTTTAAGTGCTGCTCTTTATGAGTTCATTTACCTCATAATTAAGTAATGATAAGCAAAGTAAGAGAAGTCTTTTAATAAAAATGAGAAATTAATAAATTCCACCGCTGCTTTTATTAAATCAGTAATGTGCCAGTGGCTTCTCTGGAGTCTGATCAATAGTAAAAGTGTGAACAATTGCTGCCAGTGCTCCAGTGTGCAGCTGGTTCATACCAGCTGGGGATTCCCTGTGAATTTTGTTTCTCTAAGTATGGCTGTACTGACCTTAGTTTTGCATGTAAAGCTACATATGAAGTGCCACGGGTATGAATGAATGGGAATATTCTTTCTTACCATGGAAGATTTAAACATCTTGGTTCTATCCGGCTTTAGAGCCAAAGAGTGATGCTGAGCTCACAGATTTTTGTAGTGTTTCTCTATAAAATTCTCTGCTCTGAAATTCTCCTATCTCATGTCATTTCTGATGCATGTGAGTAGTTTCCTTCCATTTTACATGGATGGAGTCAGAGTCTCGGTCTACTTCTGTAATGTTGGATGCTGTTGGTAAATGTTTTACTGCATTCTAAAGCCTTTTCCTGAGGGTTTTAGAAGAAAATAACAATTCATAGCAACAGGAATGAATGTTCTAAAATATCAACCACTATAAGTAATGGTTAAACATTCCTATATTAAAGCTGTTAACAAATTCATGTGATAAAATTGTTCTGCTTTCCTATGTGAAAAAGAACCTTCCAGTCACAGGCACATCAGCAAGAATTAAAGGGATTTTTCTTTTTTAAAATAATGCCATAATTTTGTATTAGGCTTCCATGCTTCCATTTCACCTGTGAGCACTGGGATCAGTCACATCAGTCTGGCTTTGTAAAGCATATGGGAAAGGACTGAACACCAGGAACTTTGTGCAGGTTAGACTTTAAAAACCAAAACTGTTTGTGATTGTAAATCCTCAGGGACTTGGGGATTCTTGCAGGGATCCTACGAACAGCGTAAGATATTTTAAATCCTACACATAGGAGAGTGTGAATTGGTCGTGGGGCAGACCCTAAAGCTGGTGGTGGTTCTGCCACTGCTCCTGGGCTGCCTGTGCACACAGTGCTTCAGTTGAACTGTAATGCCCGCAGAAGTCAAATACATTTTTGCATTAATCACAAAAACGATTCTTAATCAATTTTTGCATTCTTAGGGACAAGAGCTTTGCTGGATAAGTGCTGTTTTACATTCCTTTCTCACTTCTGAAGTACCCTGCCTTACCAAGTGAAGTTGGCAGAGAAGGAAAAATAAAGCCTTTCCCTCCTCTCAACTGCCTAAAGAGGCAATCATACAGTCCTAAAAATAACCAAGGAATCCGAAACTGAAGTCTTGGTGAAATTCAGGCCCTCCCTCAGTGGGAGTTTTGCCATGAATTTCAATGATTTCAGGACTTTGTCTGATGTGTTGGCCAACTGCTGAAGTTGAGTTGTTCCTGGGAGGTTGTGCCAGCAGCCTCTTGTTCTCTTTCCCAGAATAACCACTTTGATAAGGTATTTACCACTTACAAATATGGAATAGGTCCTGTAGTGAGCACTTCACCTTACAGAGGAGCTGTCATTTAAAAGCAGTGTATGCTTTCCTGAAACTTTTGGTCGGGTTATTTTTAGTTGGTTGGTTAAGATTGATGATGACCCTCTAAGAAAAAAAGAAACATTCCACCAGGGAACAACTGCACTCTCTGAAGTAATGAATGTTCAGTGATTCTTTACCATCTAATTACTAACATTGTAAGTGGTAAATGCATATATTCAATTCATTTTTTAACAAATGAAATTTCTAGAAGATAATACAGCCTTGAAATAGATGGGGTTATGCTTGCTTAAGTCCAAGTAGAGCTGAATGTGTATCCTCTAGCTGAACTTGTGCCCTGGTCACGAGGCCAATTATTAACAGAATATCACAGGACCCCTTGAGGCTACAAGTTTCCCTTTTGGAAACAAAGGCTGAATGTCCTGATTAATTTGCTTTGGTAAAACCTATTCAAGCTGAAATTTATGTGGATACTTAACGTGCCTTGTGAGATCGGAGCTTTAGCATAGACTTTGGTGTTTAGGTTTATTCTTTTTCCGAAATTATTATTTTTACAGCAGTTCGCTCTGTAAATGATGAAGAGTTGCTTCTGTCCTATTCTCTTCCATCTCTTCCCCCCACCCCCAGATTATTGTTTTGCAGCCAAAATTGTGAGGTAATATGTGTGACGATGATGAAACCACTGCCCTTGTATGTGACAATGGTTCTGGGCTTTGCAAAGCTGGGTTTGCGGGAGATGATGCTCCAAGAGCTGTATTTCCATCCATCGTTGGACGTCCTCGACATCAGGTCAGTTGGTACCAAAATGGAAGTGCTGTCTGGTTTGGGTGGTTGTTTTGGGTTGGTTTGGGGTTTTGGGGTTTTTGGTTTTTTTTTTTTGGACTTTAGACATGGCAGTGAGAAAGCATCAGACCTATTCAGGTAAAGCTCCCATCAACGTTTGTAGGAGTTTAGCTTGTTAACTGGAGGATTGAGTTGCATGTCTTTATTACTGTGAGGTAAATGTCTTCATCCTTTGGAAAAGGTGATCTTCAGCCATAAAATGTTGACTATAGAAGAACACGAGTGTTTTAATGATATGAAGGTGTCTTATGAGGAAAAAAAAAAAATCAACTTGTTGGATATTTGCTGTGTAACTAGAAAGCAAAAAAATAGGCAGAACACTGCTGACATGAAACCAAATGAATAGCAGCGATGAGTTGCTTTTCTTGTTCCATTAAGCAGCAGTATGGCCCAATAAACTTCCAAAAAAGGTCTCTATCGCACCACTTTATCAACTCAAACAGGACTGCGAAGGATAAATGTGACTTTTCTTGACCTTGAAAAGAGTCTTTCTGCTTTACTACTTTTCTAACAGTTCCTTTATAACTAGAAGATGCAGGCTTTTGTTCATTTTATTAATATCTGAGTCAGATTTTAATTTTCTCCACTGTTAAAAACCCTCCCTGAAGATCTGTATGTTCTCTTTCTGAGCTGTATAAGCCTGGTTTGTTAGGCAGAATATACTGAACATCTTCAGGAATGCATTTTTAACACCTCTGTGAATTGTTGAAGTTAAATATCAGTTGCTGAAAATGTCCATTCTTCAACCTCTCAAATTGTTCATTGTCCTTTGACATGTAATTTTGCACACTTAATCAGCTCAGCAGCAGTATTAATGAATCCATGGAATTAATGTATCCATGAGAAAAATATTTTTATGCTAGTATATTAAATATTTTTATGTTAGTATGTTATATTATTTGGGGCAACCGTGATAGGCTTCCTAATACAAACATGACAACCTTAGTAAAACTATTATTTAATAAATGAGTTTTTCTTTTGGAAAATCTGTTTGTTTTATATAATTTAATGCTTTTTTTTCCAAATGTGTATTTTTCAAAACCATTTCGCTTCCAGCAAGGGGCAATCTCACTGTTTCAAGGCAGTAGTGGAACTGCCTAGACAGAAGTGCAACCAAATATGTAGAGTACATCTAGGGATGTTGTATCTTTTTTCACCTATAATTCCTTCCCTTTATTCCTGTGTGCAATGACAAAGGACCTCCTTGTGGAGAACCGTGTGTTTGCTGTGGCCCGCCTTGGCTGAGCCCCTGCATGGGCATTAATTGCACCAAGTGTGAGATACCTACCTACCTACCTACCCACCTTCCTTCCTTCCTTTTGGAAGCCACCTTGCTCTTCCTCATGGGTTTAAAGAGGGAGTTAGTAGGTGGTTACTGATAAATTCACATTTTAGTTCTTTGCATGCTTTGGGGGTACATTCTGGAACAGCATTAGCAGGTATAGTATTTCATGTGAAGTTTGACCTTAAGAATGACGTTCTGCCTCTAATTTGTGAGATACACTGCACTGATATTAGAATAATATATTTTGCAGGGTGTTATGGTTGGAATGGGTCAAAAAGACAGCTATGTAGGGGATGAAGCACAAAGTAAAAGAGGGATCCTGACGCTGAAGTATCCCATTGAGCATGGAATCATCACTAACTGGGATGACATGGAAAAGGTGGGTGTTTATTTTTAATGTAATCTTGTTGAGGCGCCATCTCATCCAAGACATACAATTTGCTGTTAACATTCTTTCAAACCAAAGGGAAAATTCTTGAAGAATTTGTCATCGCAGTGTGGGTAAATGGATAGTGGATAGCACAGTGTGCTAGCACAGGAGTTGCTCAGGTCTTGGCACTTCTAGAGTTACTTTTAAAGCATAAATGCTTATTACTCATCAGATTTGACAGTATGTTATAAAAGTATTTTATGCTTTATACCTATTCTTTTTGGGTTTGGAAGTTCATACTGGGGCAGAAAGTTTGATGACGGTAGAAAGTAGCTAAAAAAAAAAAAAGGTGGTGATTCATCAGAGATCAATCAGAGCTATTAAAGTTACGTTACTGAAGTTGGGAACAGAAACTGGGGTGGAGTTTCATGTAGTCAAGTCCTTAGTACCTGCCTACATGAACAAGATGGTAGGTGATGCCCACATCTTATTGCATGTGACAATCTCATATTGCATGTGACATTCTCACTGTCACTTAAAGAGGAAAAGACAGATTGGGGCTTCCTATGCCTATACTAATTCTTTGAGAGTGCGATTTTATTTTTTTCTCCTGAAGCCTGTTTTTCTGTCGCTAGTTGCACCTAGCTTTTAAAGTCTGGATGGTGAGAAGGTGTCTTCATTCCCAATGAAGCCTGACTTCCTTGGCATGTGGTCAGTGCAATGACCTCTGTGAAATGCCCCCTTAAGGATGCCCCAGACCAGATGCAGGTGATGAGATGCACTCGTGGCAGTTGCTGGAGAGGCAGGAGGAGTCCTAAGGGCACTCTCACTCTAATACCTCTGCTAAATATCTCTGATGTCCTGGATTCCAGGAAGTATCTGAGTCTATATGTGGAAATATTGTACCACTTCTTTAAAGACAGGGTTGCAGTTCAGTCCCTTGTCATGTCCAGGTGGAATGGTGTGGGAAGGAAACTCCAGAAGCAAATGCTTCTAGTAATATTTTCCTGTGGAAAACACTGCTGCAAGGAAGACATGGGGCTGATGGTGGTCTGTGCTCACACTTGCTGGGAGGAGGTGTACACACCTGTAATACATGTATCTAAAGTCAGTTATTGCGGCATATTCACGAACCCAAATTGATAAGCACAGACCGTTCCAGGTGAACAGACCAAAGCCAGTACAGGAGCAATGGGAGTTCCTCAGTTCATATTAGGAAATAAATTGCCCACCTACTCCTCTAGATGGAAGCATAGCATTTGCATTTTGTTATTGCACTGCTTGCTGGGTGGACACCTTGCTCTGTGCAGTGTAGAAAGTCTACCTCATGCATCCCATTATGTTGTTCTTCCTGATAATTTTCTTGCTGTCTGCATTCAGCAAGAAATTATATTTCCCTGTAGGAAAAAAAAAAATTAAAAATTGGAGGTCACTGTTTTATATCTGATCTTTGCATCTGGAGATTGTCCTGTGTGTCACACATACTGGTATGTGTTCTTTCTCTGTGTAATGCTGGATGCTAGAGCAGACTGTCTAAAATCTTGTTACCAAAAGGAATTAGAGAAGATAAAAAAGGTGGCATGTGCTTTACTGTGGCATAATATTATGGCTAGATTGATTTTTTTTTTGTAGGATATAATGTGGTGGAGGCTTCAGGCAGTGCAGTAACTCAAATAATGGTCAGATGCTATATGGGTTCTTGTAGGCTGAACTTTTCTTCTCTTTGTTACTTAAATGAATGAAGGAATTACTGGTGCAAGTGGGTCCCTAGCCCAAATTTACCACCTTCTGATGGACAGCTTGCAACATGCAGTAGCTGGCGGCAGAGGTGCCCTGACACTGAGTTGTGCTTGGACATCTTGCTGAGCCCAGGAGCAGAGTGGGACAGAAAGTGGAGGCTGCTTTTGAGTGAAGGAGCAGTGAGCAACAAATAGAAAAAAGAAGCAAGAGAGAAAGGCAGTGGTAGGGAAGAGACAAGGAACAGCATTGCTAACTCTTGTGATTATTGCAAATAAGAAAAAAAGTTTTGGTTTATTTGTTTGGGGTTTTTTTTAATATATGGGCTTCCCTGATTCAGTCATGTATCTGAACTTCCCCTGAAGCTCTGTAACACACACGTGTGTGCACACTCTGCTGGCTGAGAGAAAATCTAAAATGCAATTCTAAAGTTTTGATGCTGAGGGAGTATCTTTTGTATATGGATATACATTTTTCCTTCCCAAGACTTTTTAAACCAGTTGCATGATTTTGATCCAAACCACAAATTTCTTTCTAATCCTTGGCAATAATACTACTAAAAGCATCATAATATAGAAGAAACAAGAGAATTACTTGGTAACATTCCAAAAATGGCACAAAGGCATAACAGTGCAGTGCCCCCCTGCCATTACAAAAAGAGGGGGGTCACCAAAAGACTAGGCTGATGTGCACGTGTGTGAGAGAAAGTGGAGGAAGTGAGAGCGAGGATGCTGCAGGACGCGCAGACACTCCTGTGAATGGAGGAGGAGAACACGTAGGCGATGAAATGAAGCATTCTTCTTCCCTGTGCTTCAGTTCACAATATTCAAATTGGGACTGCTTTGTTTTCCACTGGATAATAATACAGGGCATTGTACAGCGCTGTTAATTTGTTCACAGCAACTGACCTGACAATGTATGGGAGGGAGAATGTTGGGATGGAGTGTTTTCTGGCTCTGGTGACTATGTAAATGTTTAATTTAAGTGTTGGAATAATTCTGCCTCACTAATTTCTCTTTCCTATTGTGCTTGCTGCTTACATTTATTCTCATGACCTAGAAATCCAACGTTGAACTATTTTTGTTTCTTGTAGAATACCCTTATCCATTAACATTATGGTTAGCATTAGGTCAGATCTAATGGGCCATACAGAGCCTAATTGTGCCTGGGTTTGATGAAAAAACCTGCAGACTGCCTGAAGTTTAGGCAGGGTCCTGCTTTATGAGTCCGGGTTTGTTCCTCACTGCTGAAATCACCAGTACTTTGTTAATTCTGTAAGCACTGAGGGTTCCTTCTCTTCTCTTAGTTCTTTTCTGTCTGAAATGATAGTCTTTTTCTTCTTATAGCTACTTTGTGTATTTTTTAAAAACCTTTATATGATTACTTTGTTTTATTCAACCTCTCCATGTATTTGTGTGCTAAACCTACATATGGAAGATGGCCTGGCATCTCAAGCCCCAGTTCTGGAAACATCTGTTTTTTTAATTTTTTTTTTTTTTTAGGGGACTGAGAGGGAATTGAAATGTTTATTTTTTAGGGCTGATAATTTGCTTAATGAGTAATACTAGCTCTGGATGCTGTTGACTTTGTAGATGCTTCAAATTTAGAGATATTTTTTCCAATTGAGTTCATTTTGGAGCAGAGTAATACTTGTTTCTAGGTTATTAATCAAACAAACTCACCCATAAAACTATCCTGATATTTTGTGCTCAGAAATAAGCTTGGATCAGGCAAAGCTAAGCTAAAAAGAGATGGGAAAAAAAGAAAAAAATAAATATGGGTAAGAAAGAATTAAATTATAAGTATTTCATTATGTTACTGAACAGTCTGAGTTGCCATCAAGAAAAAAAAACCCTTCAGTTCCTCACAGCTGTAGTCCTCAGACAATCAAATCCAGCATCATTTGATACAGGTAGAACCTTCCAACATGAAAAACATACTGCAGGACTTTACAGACTAAGGAATTTAGTTACTTTATAGTAAATGAGAGTTTGATTCAGGATCTACTGCATGAAATATCTGAGGCATAAAGGGCCTTTTGTGGAAATTAGATTCCTAAAGACCATCTGGGCAGTGACTTGCAGCTGGATCAGTCTCCAGGTAGTCTGGAGAGGAGAAGTCTTTCCAGGTCCAAGAGTTCAGTGCTTGGCTCAGCTTCTTTATGGGAGCACTGGAGTGGGAGCTAACCAGTGCCCCTGTTCTGAGAGGATGATCTGTGCTCTGTTTAGGGAATCCTAACTGGAGGGACTCTGTTGTGCAGTTTATTCTTTTTACAGTAGAAACCCAATGGTTTTGATTCTAAAATAGTGTTGAAGTTGGCAGATTCACTCTTGTGTGCTTTCCATCTATTTTAATGTCTGTTTAAAAAAAGATAAATTGCTCAGACTGTATTTGAAAAGCTTTCTGTGTAGCTCTGTGGACAGAAGAAACAAAAGCACTTTCCTAAAGTGATTTTGAATTTTTAGATTTGGCATCATTCTTTCTACAACGAACTCCGGGTTGCGCCAGAGGAACACCCTGTCCTGCTGACTGAGGCCCCTTTGAATCCCAAGGCCAACCGTGAAAAAATGACTCAGGTAATTGTCTGAATGTTGTGCTGCGTATTTGTTTCTGTATGGAAGCAGCTAAAAGTATAAATAGTCCTGAGTATTCTTAATCTGGGAGGTAACTCCTTCAGGTTAGTGTGGGTTAGCACGCTGGCTAAGCCGTGGTGAGAGAGCAAAAGTGTCTGCTGCTCACACAAGTTCTCTGGATGGCCCTAAAATATTTCATACTTGTGTGTGGCAGTGAGGTATGTGGAACTAGTCTTTTAAAAGGTTGAAGTAATTTTCTTTGTTCACAAGACTCTGTGTGCTCAGTTCTGGAAGTGGGGAAGCTGGATGCTAATGTGGCTTCTGATGCTGAGTTTTGGTGTGTAGATGATGGCCTGGGATTAGTGTGACTTTTTCTTTTCTTTTGGGGAGGGGGGGGGGCTAGAGTTATGAGTCATTCATGTATTGAAGTCTGAGGTTTGCGACTCTGTAACGTGGGTCACGTACCAGCAGAATCACGCTTCTGTGTGAGTTTTGGATCAGTGACATCTTTCACGTGCCTACCTCTGGCTACCAGGATTGCTCAGCTTGTAGTAGCCAACTCTTCAGCTTGTACTGTACCAGCTTCTGCTTTCTACCCTGAAGACTGTCACTTTATCAACACTTCTGCATCAGAGAAAATTCTAGTTATCATATCAGAATTGCATGGGATTTTTCAGAATATTTAAATAAAGTTGCTTGGAGGACATCACGCATTTGAAGCTCCCAACTGGAGCACCTCTTCAGGGTTCAGGGAAAAAGTGTTCAAAAACTGGAATGTTTGTGCTACCTTGAGAAAGTGAGTTACCTGAAGCATTCAAACTTAAGTGATGCTTTGCTAAACATTTCTGCCTGTGGCCTACCCAGTCTGATTTAGCAAACTCGGATCAGAAACAGAAGTTGAACTCTTAAGTATGTTAGAGCAGCCTTCTGGCCAAAAGTCTGTATTATGAATTTAGCCAGTGAGGTAAGCAGAAGTAAATGTGATTTAAATACAGATATAGGTATAAAATCACCTGGGAAAATTAGATGTGGCTGTGCACTTCCCTTAGTGCCCACTTTTGGCATATATTTAATAGGAAGATTATGCATCAATTTAGCAAGAGTGTAAATAAACTAATTAAGTAGTGGGCTCGACAGCATGCATTACTGGGAGAAAATACAACTGGGAGATAATAAACAACAACAGATGATAAGAAAAGCCTAGTTTATAACAACCAGGAGGTGTGGTTCCTACAGTAGACATGTCTAAGACTGTTTCTCTGTCATTATACTGTAATGATAAATCCTGTTTTCAAGATTGTTTGAAGGCTTATTGTTTATTACTGATTGCATTAAATTCATTCCATTAATTAACTATGAAATATCAGTAATTTGTGTATTCTTTAATGGAAAGCGTGCTTTTCATTAAAAGTAGACTTCATTGGCAAAGGTATTAGCTTATGAAATCCAAAGTTTCAGTTTAACCCCCGCAATGTCAGCGGCTCTGATGGGTACAGTGGTGATGGTTGGGTCACCATCCCTGGAGGTGTTTTCAAGACGTGTCGCTATGGTGCTTAGGGACATAGTTTAGGGGTGGACTTGGCAGTGTCAGGTTTATGATGGTACTCAATGATTTTGAGGATGTTTACCAACATAAAGGATTCTATGAAACGTTGTCACAGCAGCACCACTAGTGATGGGGTAGCCCTGCCTAGGGTAAGGGGCACTGCTTTAAGAAAGGATACAGCGTGTTATCCAGAGTGTCTTAGATCACTGGGTGCCCTTAATGGTTTTCCTTTGCAGAGCAATGGTGGAAGTCCAGCTGGAAACAAATGCTATTCCTTCTGCTCAGATAAAATTGCAATGTATCTGACACAGGAGATGGAAAGAGCAGGAGCTTGTTAGGGTGGAGGAGGTGTGGGGTGAGACAAGAGAATACGGCTAAGGTCACCATGAAGAGAAAAGATAAACTGTTGTTTGCTGGGGAGGCAGAATGAGATTTAATGGGTTTAAACTAGACCAAGTAAGATTTTAGCTGGTCATCAGTAAAACCCTGATCATAGTAAGTATAGTGTATCACTGGATTTGTTTGCTGGAGGAGTTTCTGAGACAGAACCAAAGCTGTGTCAGGAATGACTCTTTTATTTCTTGAGATGGGAATGGACAGATTATCCCTCGTGGCTTCTTCCATCTGTGTCTTTTAGAAATTTTTTATATGTGTGTGCATGTGTGTATATGTGTATATATATATATCTATAAAAATATATAAATAAAACCCCTTACATTGCTGCAGTGTTGCAGTCCTGTCATCAGGGTGAAAAGGTTATCCCAAGGTGTCATCTTCAGTTAGTATTGTCAGTAAAATCTCACCTAGTCTGACATTAATAGAAAGATATCTACTGACTTCAGTGGTTTGGTGTGTTTTTTGTTTGGTTTTTTTTTTAAATTAGATCCAAAAAAACCCATAGCCTGCTATTCACAGAACCACCATGGTTCAGGAGAAGACTCAAGAGTAGTAACTGGCAATATTCATTTAAAAAAGCAAAAAAAAATCTGCTGTCTCTTCAGATACTCTGTGTAGATCCTAAAAGGTTTTCAAATTCTTAAATTTCAGATTATGTTTGAGACGTTCAATGTGCCAGCGATGTATGTGGCAATTCAGGCAGTGCTGTCTCTGTATGCATCTGGAAGAACGACAGGTGAGTCTTTTTGGGAGTTGTATTTCCACCTGGCCCTCCCTTGCGGAGGTGTTTGCACACACGCACATCCACAGGTGTATGTTGGCGATGACACACCAGCTGTGTGTTAACAAGAACTGGTAGCCATATGGGCACTGAGTACTTCCAGCCATGCTGTGCAAGTACATCTCTTGTTTTCAACTTCACGGCAGGTATTGGTGTAGATTTACGACTTTCTGCTTCAAAAGCTCAACTGACTGGCTCAGCTTCTGCGCTTGGGCACAACAACCCCCAGCAGCGCTACAGACCTGGGGAGGAGTGGCCAGTCAGAGAGGGACCTGGGGGTATTGATTGTCAGCTGGCTGAACAGGAGCCAGCAGTGTGCCCAGGTGGTCAAGAAGGCCAGTGGTATCCTGGCTTGTATCAGCACTGGCGTGGCCAGCAGGGACCCGGAAGGGCTCTTACCCCTGTGCTCAGCACTGGTGAGGCCGACCCTCGATTCCTGGGTTCAGTTTTGGGCCCCTCACCCCAAAAAGGCCATTGAATGACTCGATCGTGTCCAGAGAAGGGCGACAGAGCTGGTGCAGGGTCTGGAGCACAGGTCTGCTGGGGAGCGGCTGAGGGAACTGGGGGGTTTAGTCTGGAGAAGAGGAGGCTGAGGGGAGACCTCATGGCCCTCTACAGCTCCCTGACAGGAGGGTGCAGAGAGGGGGGATGAGTCTCTTGAACCAAGGAACAAGCTCCAGGACAAGAGGGAATGGCCTCAAGCTGCCCAGGGCAGGGTCAGGCTGGCTCTGAGGAAGGATTTCTTTGCAGAAGGGGCTGTTGGGCGTTGGAATGGGCTGCCCAGGGCAGGGGGGGAGTCCCCATCCCTGGAGGGGTTGAAGAGTCGGGTTGACCCAGCGCTGAGGGATCTGGTGGAGTTGGGAACGGTCAGGGGGAGGGTCATGGTGGGACTGGATGATCAGGGTCTTTTCCAGCCCAGATGATTCTGTGGTTTTGTGTAACTACATGGACAGATGAAAGATGATGCGGTTTGATACTGCCCCTAATTGCACAGCATAGGGAAGAGGCTGTATCTCAACTGTGGGTTTGGAACAATCTTAGTTTCTTCTTGCTCTAGACCTACCTCTATTGTTAAGCTCCATTCCCAGTAGAAAAAAACCTACTCAGCCATTCAGTAGCTAAATGAAAATATTTCATTTAAATGTTGAATTTCAATCACCTAATGATGTCTGCTGTTAAGCGATCATTAGAATTATCATGGAAGTCTCTTCTTATTGCCATTTAGAGTCTGATGAAGCATTGAGACAATAAATTACTTCTTAGCAAATGTGAGTCTTCATATACTTTGAAAAAAATTAAAATACCATCTGTCTTCATAGCCTGATGCCACAATAAAAATTTGTACAAAAAGATCTCCAGCTTACACGAATTACAGTTGTCATAAATACTTGTTTTATGTTTAAAATTCAACTATTTGTTATTCGTGTTTGGTATCAGAAATGCTTTATTCATTTTGAGGGAAAAAAATATACTTCATTACCTATCCAAGAATAAAAGTAACGTGGCTGTGCGCAGATAAACTGTCATTATATTTTCCCCAATAGGGTGGTTTATTTTAATGGCAGATTCGGATTTTTAATTTTATAGATAGATTTTTATTTACAGTTTGTATATTAGATTCGTAAAGTGCTTGGGGTTGTCTGAAATGAAAGCCTCTGCGTCCATTTAAAGTCATGATTGCTAACATCCGTTCAGCAAGAACAATGCGATCAAATTGCTGAATGTTACGTGTCCTTTTTCCTCAAATGCAGTTTGCTGCTTAATTTGTACTAACGATTTTTTCTCACATGAGCAACTCTTTAGTTATAGGAATGACAGAAGCAATTGCCATGTGAGCAGCTTTATTTGTTGTTGTGTGTTTCAGATGAGAATATGGAGTATGTGGAGAGTGGGTATCAGTGGGAAATAACCAGCTTCTCCTATTCTTTCACTTTCTAGGAATAGTTTTGGATTCCGGGGATGGTGTCACACACAATGTGCCTATCTATGAGGGCTATGCCTTGCCCCATGCCATTATGAGACTTGATCTGGCAGGCAGAGACCTGACTGACTATCTCATGAAAATCCTTACAGAGAGAGGCTACTCTTTTGTCACCACGGGTAATGAGCTGTGCTCTGAATGTGTTTTGCATACGTTTGCTCTGTTAGTTGTCTTAGGATGCAGGAAGTATGTACCTGGCAAGATGCATCAAAAACCCTATTGCTAGGTTGGCCAGGGAAAACCAGTTCATGTTGGCTAACAGGATTCTCCTGACTTTGGCTTTCGGCTTATATGTTGAGCATCAAGCACAAGGATGCCACCTCATTAGGAAATCCTAAGTCGACTGGCAAATTCAATGGGTTGTTGTGTTTGATCATACCTCTTCCACAGGCAGAGTAACAAAGTTAGTAGCTGGTGATGGATAAACCTCTGGAGCCAAGGTTTTGTGACATAAACATGTAAACGTTACTCTTTACAGTATTCTGTAGTACAGTATATCTTGTATGTGCTGATGAGGGAAATTTGGTAACGTAAAGGGAAAGTAATGCTGAGACAACAGAGAGATCAGAATCCAACGAACTGTACAACCATCATGAACTCACAGATTTTCTCATGAGTATTTCTCTGTCTTCGCTGTCATATTGTATGTTGATTAAAACCTTCTTGGCTGTCTGCAGCCGAACGAGAGATTGTGAGAGACATCAAGGAGAAGCTTTGTTACGTGGCTTTGGATTTTGAAAACGAAATGGCAACTGCTGCTTCCTCCTCCTCTCTTGAAAAGAGCTATGAGCTTCCTGATGGACAAGTCATCACCATTGGAAATGAACGGTTCCGATGCCCAGAAACTCTCTTCCAGCCATCCTTCATAGGTGAGACAGGAGTGTTCTTTCTAGGGAATTGAATAATTTCTTAGAAAGCGTAGACAGCCTTCAGCTGTAAGAACTGAGGTGTTTATTCTCAAATGACCTTAGAAACAGGCAGCTTCTATTGATTTAATCAGCTCCTTAGAAGCTATGAACGCTGCTGCTACAGCTGCTGGACAAAAAGATGCCTGTCACTTAGAAATACCTGAATCCTGAGATGATTTGCAACCTCTTATAAGTGCAGTAGAGTTTTGAAGGACAGAGTGCTGTCAGAAGATCATGCTTTTTATCTTGACTGCTTATGTGTTTTTTTAATTTAGATATTGCTTCTGTTTTCATTATTCTATTAATCTGTAATCATACAAGATCAAATTGTACACTATTTTGCAGTGTTTTTAACTGTAGTGTTAAAATTCCCCTGTTATCCAGTGGATGACTGACACTTTATGTGGTAACTTGTACTGCCCTCACAAATTTCCTACTTTCTACTTAAATTCCCCTCTTGAGGTCTGAGCAAAATGACTGCAGGCAGTTTGGCACAATTTCCATTAAACTAAATGGTGAAGCTAGCTACATTTTTATGTAGAAAGGAAACTATTCAAGCATTAATATAGCTCCAAGTTCTGTATTTGAACATCAGCAGGAGTGATGTTCACATATTCTGTATTTGAACATCAGCAGGAGAAATTCTCTTTAGTAGCTAGAGGGATTTGGCTGCCAGAAGTGTATCAGGGATCAGAGTTGGTGCTCAACAGTGGTCAATATCAGAAACACAGGAATGGAAATCAGGATTTCCTGGATCACAGATCTTGGTCAAAATGTGTTAAGTCTAGTAATTACAGCCCTGGGAACACAGTTTGGACTTTATATGATCTGTTCCTTTACCAAAAAAAAGTACCATAAGTTAACTTCACTGCACTGGCATTCAAATTAAACCAACACCTCAAAAGCAAGGCAGCTCACTGAAATGCCAGGTGGGCTTCTATTTCTAGCTAACAGCATCATAGAACATTGTAAAAATGTAAAAGTATTGCAGTAATACCTCATTTAAAATTTTTCCTTAAATAATGTTTTTTTTGTTTTGTTTTTTTTTACTTGAAGTAAAAAACACAGTATGAAATCATAACTGGGATCATTCTTCCTCCCCAAAGTGTATTTTGCTTGTGTAATTACTGTGCTGAGATGACAGAGAAAGTGAGGAGTATGTCCGGTCTTTCTCCTTCTCCTAAGCATCACATAGCTTTTTTTCCTGGAGTTTCCTTAAGGGAGACAGCTTGGACTAGTGAGCCTTCCTTTTCATTTTAACAGTAAGAAAAAAAGGAGACAAAGAGAAATAATATGTTGAAACTTCTTCCCTCTCAGGGATGGAGTCTGCAGGTATCCACGAAACCACTTACAACAGTATTATGAAATGTGATATCGACATCCGTAAGGATCTCTATGCTAACAACGTCCTCTCCGGAGGAACCACAATGTATCCTGGGATTGGCGATCGCATGCAGAAAGAGATTACAGCTTTGGCTCCAAGTACTATGAAGATTAAGGTAATTTTCAACACCTGCACTTTAAAAAGAAGCTTTTGTTGGAAAATTAGATCTTATAAACAAATGAAAATGTCAGCAAGGGAGTGTCCAGGCCTTGCCTGCCAAGTCCTGACGTTAGGAGAGCCTCAGACAGCATGCTTAATTAATAGTTCTCTTCCTCCTGCCAGCTAAAGCAGAGTTAAAAGAGGGATTTGAGAGGTACTGGAATAAAAATGGTTGCTGAAGCCATGTGAGGTGATGAGGTCATTTCAAGAAAATGTGAAACAGTTAAGGAAGAGAATCCTGTGGGATTCCCAGTGAAACAGGGCTATGAGGGCAAGAAAGGCTTCTTGGAAGACACCACAGAACAAGAGAGGTTGGGATGAACCTGGAGAAGATGGAGCTGTAAATTCTAAAGGGGGCATTGAACCACTTGAGAAGATACCAGGAATAGTATAGTCGTTAAGGCTTAGCTATCACTGAGAGTCATCACTGAAAAAGGTGAAAGAATAAATCCAAAATCCAAGTAGCTTGCAAAGTCTGCAGCTTGTTAGCTGTTTGAAAGGGCCCTCTTGGCTTGGACCGAAGACAACGTGTGGTGAAACAGAGAGACCCTTTTTATAAAGCAGCAGAGGCCACGCTGGACGGGCATGACACAGAGCATGGCAGCAATGGAAACAGGAGCACGCAGAAGCAGGGGTGCAGCTGGTGCATTTTAACAGTGCAGTGGCTAAGGGGGGCAGCGTCTAGCCCTACATCTAGTGCTTCTAGATACTCCGTGCCAGTGGATCTCTGTTGGGTTTTTATGTAAAAGAATTTATCCTTTAAAAAAACGTTCAGACCATTCTGTGTAGTGTTGTCCCAGTGGTCTTTATTTACAACAAAATTAGGTTAGTGTTTCAAAACTTTAATTTTCTTCAATCTACATTTATAATTTTTTGATAGGTGTGTTATGGGCCCTCTGCAGATATCTCACAGGTTTGCTCTTAGTAACACTATAGCTTCTCTGCCGGTTTGAGGTAGGAGACGATATATGACAGCCTCTCTACCTCTTAGGTGCTTTACTTCATTGGCGTTGTGCTCCTGTGATGAAAAGACTTTCACCTAGTTATTTCATCCAAAGAAACGTTTACTGTGTTATCTGCTTGTCACTTTATTTACAACGGATTGCACTTCTCTTCTAGATGATTGCACCACCAGAACGTAAATACTCTGTCTGGATTGGGGGTTCAATATTGGCATCTCTGTCCACTTTTCAGCAAATGTGGATCAGTAAAGATGAATATGAGGAAGCTGGCCCCTCCATTGTCCATCGCAAGTGCTTTTGAATACCTCCATCGTGTACTGTCAGTGATAAGTTGTGATGTTTTCTCTACACATCACCTGCCCTCATTCACCTCTGATAGTGGTTTGGTTTTCTTCCACATGTTAAAAAAGCACACTGGATGGATGTCATATGAATTAGCAAATTACTTCTAATTTTTGATTCTAAAATAAGACTAACATTTCCAAGATTAAGAGCAGTAGTTGTACTATACATTTTTATAGACGCCCCCTTGCCCTGTGTTTGTGAGCGTTGTGCTGCCGCCCGGGAGGTGTGAGACCCAGTGCTGCTCTGTGTTAGTCTCTGCTCATCGGTGGTATGCCTGGAGAATGCACATAAGTGATTCTTTCAAACTCAAACATAATGCAAGATTTAAATACCAGAGAGGGCTTCTTTTATGCAGTTAAGTGGTACACAGGGTTCTTCTAAGGGGGGTTTATTTTACTGAGGATAAACAGATTTGTGTGCACACAGGCACCAGCCCTTTCCGCAGAGCCGCTATGGATGACTTTCCTTGGCATCCCACAACTGTTTGTCTCCCTGTGACCACCACTCCCTATCAGTAAGGAGCTTCATCAAGCTACAGTGCTTCTGAACTTAAATGGTATTGGATGTATTACTGCTTTCTTCATCTCTCTTCTTAAGCAGTTAACTGATGTTTCATTTGCTTTTGCTATATATGTGCTATGCTAAGCTAATGATTACAGAGTAAATAATCACCTTTTGAATATGTCACTGGAATACTCTGGGTTTAATGGATCAATAAAATTGTAATTACCCATGTAAGGCTGCTGTGGCTTACATTAATTTCATAGTGAGTAGTTTATCTGTTAAAGATAAAATAATAATTACTAATTTATATTTTAACTTTATTATGAAAAAGGTTTCATTCCGTCTGAGTTTTCGAGCTAAGCAATTTTGAAATAAAACCAGAACTGTTTCACAGTTTCTATTTAAAAAAAAATTAAAAAAAAAAAATTTCTTGGATGCCAAATTTTCATAATGTTCTGTATGAAGCTTAGAGTCAGCTATGAAGATTTTACTGTTTCAGATCTAGGCAAGTGTGTTCTAGATGATTCTGGATGCTGTAGATGTTGAATTGATGTGGTCAGGCTTGATGTGCATTTCATGATTTAAATCAAACCTGTCAAGTTCTTGCCAGTAAACACAATATTCTTTCCAAAGATGGTGAAAAGATGCGAGTTGGATTTATGGACTTCTGGAAGTGCATCTAGGAGATGTTTTAAAGAATCTTCTGACTGCTGCGAGTTCCAACTCCGGGTGATCTCACTTCCTTATCCAAGGAAGGCTCTTAATGGTAAAAGCTGAAAGAGCTGTAAGGGAAGGATTTTTCAAAGGTTGTTTGTGGCTGGCACTACACTACCTAATAAGCATGAGATTGATCTTACCTTCATTCCCACTTTTGGACAGCAGTCAGCTCAAATTGCCAATATCCATGTGTTCTCAAGCAAACGTAAATCATTGCAGATTTCTCAGCCTCTGAATGAATTTCACTTTATTATCTTGGTCTCAGCTTATATGAATGCTTGCTGCCTAAGTTGATAATAAATCACCTTACATATAGGAATAGCACTGTTACCTGGCCTTATTGCCTGCCTAAGAAACATGACTTACAAGAGGTCAAGATTAGAAAGTATGTGTGATGTTCAAGAGCGTCAACCTCTGGAACTGACTTACATTCGCAGTCCCCTGTAGTATCAAAGCAAAATTCCATTCAGTTTTCCAATAATCTACTTATCCTTGTTTCAATATTAAAAATGAAGAATCTTTAGATGTTCAGGGTTTTTTTGTTTTAATATAGCCTTTCAGTATATGCTTACAGCTCGTTAATCAGGAAAAAAAAAAGAGAAAAGGTTTGAAAGTGTGTATTTTTTTTCTAAGTGGCAAGTGAGGTACACGTTTACAGCATTTGCATGTAACTGAAAGAGTTCTTTGGGCTTTTCTTCTCCCTCCCTTCCCCAGGTCTCCTCCTCTCATTCCCCACAACAAAATTCTCTTCAGTCCTTGGTTGGCATCTCTACCTCCTGGCACAGCTGGGGCTGAGACGTGAGCTCTCAATGGTTAGAATATGAATCCTCATCCTGCAGCTGACTCCTTTTTCAGTGTGGAAGAGCATGATTATGCTCTGAATACCTCCCTAACAATCTGCATGTGGAATCTTATTCAAAATTAACACGCATTTTGAAAATAGAATTAATTATGTGCTAACAGCAAATACAGATAAAAATAAGTAAAATAATTAAGCTGTTTGTGTGATTTGGCAGACCTCTGCTTCTCTGAGAGGAAATTGCCTTCACCACCGTGCAAGTTGTGCTTTTCTAGATGTTGTTGTGCAGAATGCTACAGTGGTTGGAACCGAGAGTAGGGAATACCCAATAGCCAAGAAAATAGGTCACGGTTTTCTCCACAAATTCACCTGGTGTTCCCAACTACTCCTTGGTTACCTTGAAGATTATCTTTAGGCGTATGGAGGTGTTAACGTTTATACTCAGTCATACCTGTGCATGCCTTACTCTGTAATCTTATGTGGAAAATGAGTATGGCTGACGATAAGTATCCTAAATTTGAAAGAGCTTTTATAGATCATATCAACAGTGCCACTGGTGTCAAACAGTCATCTCGTTCTGGAGAAAGGGTTTGGGGTTTCAGTTTTCTAATTGAGCAGGTTTTGCATGCTTAATATTCACTCAGGTTTTCTTCTGTACAGCCATACAGGCTATAAATATTTATTTAAAAAACAAACAAACAAAATTTATCTCAATTTTAGAAGTTAGGACTCAGAGGACACCTCCCCACTGAAGTAATGCATTTTGAGGTTCATGATAAATCATGGCTTTATACCGTATAATATCAAGTAGACCTCATGGGCAGAGGTAGTCCAGTAATTTTTATCTTAAAAGCGGGTGAACTCGATAAAGGTAATTTTCTACAATAAGATTTTTAGATAAAAGCTATATGTATTTTTAATAGATTCTATTGTTTCAGTAAATAACATCAGCTTGTGGATGAGACACTCCAAAGTTAGAACACATTGAGACACCGCAAAGTTAGAACATTTCTCAGAAATGTAAGACAGCAAATCAAAGGCTACAAATAACTCTTTGTATGGCTGTGGGCAATCTACTTTATTCAGTCCATGATGGTGATGTAATCACATTTTTCAAATGAGCTGGTAGACTATTACTAGGCGAATTTGTGTCACTATTTTACTTCAAGGTAAGTGTGTCAAGATTGTCTCACTAGAAGTTACCTTAAATGTTTAAAATATTTGTGTCTTTGGAGCATAAAGTAAGCGCTATTAGTATAAACTGCCAAGGTGAAAGGAGGTTCAAGAGCTTGCTCCGCAGGGGCCAAGAGCCTGTCATGTCCTCACTACATCCAGACAGGATGCGAAGGAAGCGTGTCGCGTTGGTCACAGTTTGTGGCTGCCTTGGAAATAGCATCTTGCAACAGAAATACTAATGGTAATGACTATTCTTCGCCAGTTTTTTCTAGTTATGAGCATCTGAAGTGCATCAAGAGTGTGACTTTTCCTGCTGGCCAAAGCTGTGTGGTGGGGAGCATAATGTAAAGGGCAGGGACCTATTCCTGTTCCCTCCCAAAGGAGAATCCTCAGCTACGTTTGGGTGGTTTGGGCACAGAGTCTTCTCCAGCAGTGAGCCGTGCTCAGTCGCAGATGCTATGTCTTTGTTTTTTTGAAGGTATGATCTTTTTCAGTATATTTGCAAGGTAAAACTCTTAACTTTCTCAACATATGTTTTGGTTAATGCCACACCCTTTTATTTGACCTTTACTAATGCATTCTTGTATCTTTTCAAAATATACTCCCTAAAAGGTCATTTTCCTAGCCTGTGTCTTTGATTATTTTACCTCCTTCCTTTAACCAAGAAATGTATGTCTTCATGTTCAAAACTCTTTCGTAGCTTTAATGTTTCCTCTTTTCCCCTATCAAATGGTTGATTTCTGCTTCTGATCAGCTTCTCTCTGAAATCGAGCATGCTCTTGCTTTTTTTTTTCCCCCGTGAAGCAGCTCTCTATAAACATCTTCACAACTTCTGTCCTTCTAAATTCTTCTATAAAACTTTATAAGGCCTCGATGCCTCTGAATCCTAACCAGAATTAGAAGATCAGATGCTTTTCTATCAAACGTTGCCCTGCCTTTTGCCACCCCGATGTTATCCCTTTTCTTAGATTAAAGAGTTCCCGTGAACAGGAACCAGTTTTTGGTTTTTGTCTTTGTACAGCACCTTTTGTAATCAGGTTTTTGGCCTCAGCTGGGCAGCATAGGTGTATCAGAGTTGCTGTGTGCTTCTGGGCTGTCCTCTCTGTGCTCCTCAGCCTTGTTCAAGTGGCCTGATTCTTTTACCTGCTCGATTGCAATTTTCAACAAGTAATATCAGAGAAAAGCTCTGGGTGTGTGAAGCATTGTGTTTAATTAAAAGTAAGGGTGCTCTGAAGTAAGAATAAGAGTATTTTTCAGACTGATATTTTTTTTCAGACTGATGTTGTGCTAGTTCTATATGTTGTCCTTGTATAGCACACGAGGTTCATCTCAGAACCTTGCTGCTTTCAGGCTGTTCAAGAAGCTGTCTCTTGTGTACTTCAAAATTTTCAAGTTTTTCTGAACTTCACAGTTGTTTCTTTTTAATTTAGTAATAGCTGTATAATAATAAGCTCTCATTAACGTTCTCAGAATTGCTTTCCTGGAAACATGGTAAATAATGTGTCACTTCAAAGGAACCCCTTCTCCCGTATTCCCTTTAACAAAGAAAACTTTGTTACTATCATTTAATTGATATTTATTCTAAAGGGATGAAATTCTATCCACTGCAAGAGTAAGCAGAAAACTCCCCTCACGCATTTTTTTTCCATCGGGAAGTACCTTCTTTTTATAGCTGTAACTTATAGGGGAAAATATTCGGATGAAGGTTACCAAATTACTTACATGCAAACTAGCATAGCTGTAGTTTCTTCTGTGGATGTAATTTGTTAAATCCACTGAATATTTCGCATCAAATTTTTAAATGTGAATGCTATTTTACAAGTGATTTATGAGACTTCTGTCTGCAGTGGCAGGACCTTTCAGTTCTGCATTTCACATCAGTGATGCTTTCCTGTTAAATGATACGGGATCCGAGTTATGTCACAGGTCTTGATGTTAACTTGTAAGATGCAAGCCACATTCTGAAGAAGGTTCCTTCTGAGGGCTTTTCTCTCCAATTTTGCTTCAAAGTTAGATGTCGCATCTTTGGTGAAATAGTATTTTCTTGGAACCTGGGAAACTAGTGAACTTGGTATTAGGGCTTTGATGACTTCCTAAGAATGTCTAAACTCTTAAGAGTTCAGGGTCAGAAGCACTTTTTAAAAAAACCAACCAAACAAGAAATTCCATTTTAAAAGCAGTAGCATTTGGAAAAGACAAAATATGCGACCTCCAAATTTCAAGGTAAATACAAGGGAAATGGAAAATCCTGATACTAGTTGTTAATCTTTGATCAAAATGTTTATTTGTAATTTTAATGGGGGATGGTGGGTTTCAGAAAGCAGGTGACATCTGCTATGCAGAATAGGGAGGGAAGAGAGAAAAATGTATAGTATTGAAAGCAAATCACCTTTCTAGAAAGTTTCTTGATATCATTGGGGGCACCATACTTGGGCTGAACTGACCCTTGTCTTCTGTCTGGAAAGCTCTTAAAGAAAGAGGAAAAGGACCTGCTGATCTTTTGCTGCAAAGGTTAATAACATAAAATACTGATGAGCATCT